GCTTCCACCTCAGACAGTGGATCAGCAACATTCCCTCAGTCGTGGCTGATCTACCTACAGAGAACAAGGCAGCCAATTGTGAACGTTGGCTCAGTCTTGGCGAGACAGGACTTACGGAGGGAACCTTGGGACTCCAATGGCAAAGTGACAGTGATCTGCTTGGATATAGGGTCAAAGAGATTAGCCATGATTGTCTCACCATGAAAGTCATATATCGAATCTTGGCCAGCCAGTAAGACCCCTTAGGATATTTAACTCCTTTCACAGCGAGAGCGAAAGTTATTGTCCAAGATCTGTGGAAACTGAAGAGAGACTGGGATGCACGTATTGTCGAGGGAAGTGAATATGAGAAGTGGTGTTCATGGGAAATGAGCTACCAGACATTGAGGAGGTGAATCTACCTCGTTGTTACACACCTCATCATGTCGATACCACATGTCGATACAGCTGCATATCTTCTCGGATGCCTCGGAACGTGTGTATCGTGCAGTTACCTTCCTTCGGACAGTGTATCAAGGAATGGTTTATGTCAGCTTTGTACAAGCCAGATCCAGAGTTGCTCCAAAACGTCAACTTTCCATACCACGACTTGAACTATCAGCAGCACTAGTAGGAGCACAACTTGCAGACATGCTGATCAGAGAACTTACCTTACCCATTGAAAGAGTCACCTTGTGGAGTGATTCAACAACAGTGCTGTCTTGGCTGAAATCTGATTCATGCAGATATAAAGTATTTGTTGGAACCAGGGTTGCAGAGATTCAAACTCTGACCAATGTTGCAGATCGGCGGTATGTGAACACGAAAGATAACCCCGCTGATGATTTTAAAATTACTAGAGGCAAGACCCTGGAGGAGCTTACAAATTCTTCTTCTTGGAAGAATGGTCCATCCTTCCTTCTTCGATCACAAGAAGAGTGGCCGCCTGACATAGTGATGAGTACCTCCATCAAATACACGAGTGGTGAAGTCAAGACTACCTTTTGCGCAATGACCATGACTGAAAACCCAACGATTCCGGATGTGAGCAAGTACAGTACCTGGAGTCAGTTTGTTGGGGATACCATGCAGATCCTTAACGGGGAGGCCAATGACACACAATTACCTTTTGATTCGATGAAAACAGAGATGTTCTTATTTCCTAAAGTCCAGTGTGACTCCTTTCCTGAGGAATTCAGTGCCCTTCAGTCTCATAAGAAAAACCTGCCTTTTACTCCACAGGAGTGGGTTGTTTCGGGCCGATGTCAGTCAAGATAGGACGGCGCACAAAGAATAGATGGGGAGTAATCTTCAAGTGAATGACAACACGTGAAGTACATCTTGACTTACTAGACAGTATGAGTACAAATGCCTTCCCGATGGCGTTCCGGCGCTTTGTGTCTCGTCGTGGCAAGCCCCATGAGCTCCTCTCAGATTGCGGCAGCAATTTCAAGGGTGCAGAAAGAGAACTGAGAGAAACTTGGATGACCATGGAACCAAGTTTTAACTAACCAACTAGCTGGATGCAATGTGAAGTTCAAGTTTAATCCCCCCCTATGCTCCTGACTTCGGTGGAGTATGGGAGAGGGAAATCAGGTCTGTCAAAGATGGACTGAAGGTGGCATTGGGTGATCAGACAGTATCAGAATCTGTGCTCCAGACGGTGTTAATCGAGGTTGAAGGAATACTCAATTCAAAGCCACTAGGCTATGTGTCTACCGATGCCAAGGATGTTGACACCATAACTCTTAACATTCTATTGATGGGACGTAGAGATGCATCCCTTCAACAGGTAGTGTACCCTGCTGATGAGCTTCTTGGTCGGAAAAGGTGGCATCACAGCCAAGTGTTAGCAGATCAATTCTGGAAACACTTTGTGAAATATTACATGCCAACCCTACAGGTGCGACAGAAGTGGCGTGCAGATACACCCGACCACAACAATTTGATGTGCAATGATGTTGTCATGATTGCGGACCCTCAGACCGTTCGTTCCTTATGGCGGGTAGGAAGAGTATGCAGGACGTACCCAGGCGATGATGGGAGGGTTCGATCTGCAACAGTCCTTGTAGGAGACCAGGAAGTCGCCAGACCGGTGGCCAGAGCTGACAGTGATGCCAAGTGACTCTTTAAGTGACAGTGATGACATTTTCAGTTTGTCTCAAAGCAAATTTTGTCCCAAAATTTGGGGGCGGCTGTGTTATGAAGGATTTGATTTGTTCCGCTTTAGTTGTTGCATTCCGCTTACCCTTCCCGCTTTTCAATTAAAAGTTCCTGTTTTAGTAGTTTACAAGATGGCAGCCTCCATGTAACTCACCGTTGCCATGTGCTCTGAAAATAAAACCCTTGGAGCATCGAACATACACTTCTTTTCATGATTCCCGCGATGAAGGAACTTTAATATCTTTAGAAAATGTTAAAGGATGCATTGAGAACATTACGCCAATCGTAACCCAATGCTCGTTTGATCAGCATTCTTGAAGCACGACTTTCAGATACCAATTTCTTGTTGATGCACAGAGGGGCGTTTCCATTTATATTCTTACACCGTTTTCAAGATAACTGTTACTACAACCAGGTGAATAGAAGTATATATGCATAGTACATTGTGACAAGCAGCCGATTAACAGGAGCAACAGGTACTTTAGCAAGCTGCACACACTCGGATGGGGCCAGCCGGAGCGTAAGATCAACAAATTGTAAACAGGCTGATTGGATGCTAATTGGAGAGCTGATTGATAGATTCTATATGTAAATCAACTTCAGTATATAGCCTTTATCAACTATTCAGTCATCATCCACTCAGCTTGTTGATACTGTACGATCGAAACGCCGCTATCGGTAATAAGCAGGAACTTCTTTGAGAGGTATTTTAAATGGTTGCTTTTAGATGGTTAGTCAACTTCTTTATTTGCAATGAGTGCGACGTTTCAGTGTAGATACTAACACCGTTATCAAGTTAGTACCTACACCGAAACGTCGCACTCATTGCAATAAAGAATTTGACGATCCATAGAACTTGGTTTACTTCAATAAACAGGAACCTGTAACCACTAAAGAGGTATGCTTCGTTATATATCCTCATACTGTTCACTGAAGTATAAGTGAGATCTGCCCCAGATGTCCCATCCTCCCAGAAGACAGAGGATGCACTGGCCCCAGATGTCCCGTCCTCCCAGAAGACGGAGGATGCACTGGCCCCAGATGTCTCACCCTCCCAGAAGACGGAGAATGCACTGGCGCCAGATGTCCCACCCTCCCAGGAGGCGGAGGATGCACTGGCCCCAGATGTCTCACTCTCCCAGAAGGCGGAAGATGTAGTGGCCCCAGATGTCTCACTCTCCCAGAAGGCGGAGGATGTAGTGGCCCCAGATGTCTCACTCTCTCAGAAGACGGAGGATGCACTGGCCCCAGATCTCTCACTCTCCCAGAAGACGGAGGATGCACTGGCCCCAGATGTCTCACTCTCCCAGAAGACGGAGGATGCACTGGCCCCAGATGGCTCACTCTCCCAGAAGACGGAGGATGCACTGGCCCCAGATGTCTCACTCTCCCAGAAGACGGAGGATGCACTGGCCCCAAATGGCTCACTCTCACAGAAGACGGAGGATGCACTGGCCCCAGATGGCTCACTCTCCCAGAAGACGGAGGATGCACTGGCCCCAGATGTCTCACTCTCCCAGAAGGCGGAGTATGCACTGGCCCCAGGTGTCCCACCCTCCCAGAAGGCGGAGGATACACTGGCCCCAGATGTCCCACTCTCCCAGAAGGCGGAGGATGCACTGGCCTCAGATGTCCCACCCTCCCAGAAGGCGGAGGATGCACTGGCCCCAGGTGTCCCACCCTCCCAGAAGACGGAGGATGCACTGGCCCCAGATGTCTCACTCTCCCAGAAGACGGAGGATGCACTGGCCCCAGAAGTCTCACTCTCCCAGAAGACGGAGGATGCACTGGCCCCAGATGTCCAGTCCTCCCAGAAGACGGAGGATGCACTGGCCCCAGATGGCTCACTCTCCCCGAAGACGGAGGATGCACTGGCCCCAGAAGTCTCACTCTCCCAGAAGACGGAGGATGCACTGGCCCCAGATGTCCAGTCCTCCCAGAAGACGGAGGATGCACTGGCCCCCGATGGCTCACTCTCCCAGAAGACGGAGGATGCACTGGCCCCAGATGCCCAGTCCTCCCAGAAGACGGAGGATGCACTGGCCCCAGATGGCTCACTCTCCCAGAAGACGGAGGATGCACTGGCCCCCGATGGCTCACTCTCCCAGAAGACGGAGGATGCACTGGCCCCAGATGTCTCACTCTCCCAGAAGGCGGAGGAGCACTGGCCCCCGATGGCTCACTCTCCCAGAAGACGGAGGATGCACTGGCCCCAGATGTCTCACTCTCCCAGAAGGCGGAGGATGCACTGGCCCCAGATGTCTCACTCTCCCAGAAGACGGAGGATGCACTGGCCCCAGATGGCTCACTCTCCCAGAAGACGGAGGATGCACTGGCCCCAGATGTCTCACTCTCTCAGAAGACGGAGGATGCACTGGCCCAGATGTCTCACTCTCCCAGAAGACGGAGGATGCACTGGCCCCAGATGTCCCGTCCTCCCAGAAGACGGAGGATGCACTGACCCCAGATGTCCCACCCGCCCAGAAGACGGAGGATGCACTGGCCCCAGATATCTCGTCCTCCCAGAAGACGGAGGATGCACTGACCCCAGATGTCCCACCCGCCCAGAAGACGGAGGATGCACTGGCCCCAGATGTCCCGTCCTCCCAGAAGACAGAGGATGCACTGGCCCCAGATGTCCCGTCCTCCCAGAAGACGGAGGATGTAGTGGCCCCAGATGTCCCACCCTCCCAGAAGACGGAGGATGCAGTGGCCCCAGATGTCCCACCCTCCCAGCTTCATGATATAACTGATGTATTGTGTTCAGCTGACACTCAAATCATTATCTCACTCTACGGACACATCATGACTGCATCATCTCACTTATCGGAGCTGAACTATGTCTGCGATCGACTCACCCACATTCCGCACCACAGAGGACATGCAGCTATCGTTAACGCTACCAGCGTCTCATACACCGTCAACGAAGCTGCAACAGCACTGGCCGTTTGACGCTCAGCGTCACGCGATGTCAACGTCAAGGCCAGGTCAAGGCCACCAAGCAACGCACATGATACGCCGATTCCGGTTTGGACAGCTCCAAGCACTCTGATTCCAGAGTACGGGAACTTGTCGGCTTGTTTCCTTTCGATACCCTGGACCTCCATAAAGCGTCTCCTACAGATTCATTGCACCCTGGAAGTAAATATACACGTTATACTCGTACCCTGGAAGTAAATATACATGTTATACTCGTACCCTGGAAGTAAATATACACGTTATACTCGTACCCTGGAAGTAAATATACACGTTATACTCGCACCCTGGAAGTAAATATACACGTTATACTCGCACCCTGGAAGTAAATATACACGTTATACTCGTACCCTGGAAGTACATATACACGTTATACTCGTACCCTGGAAGTAAATATACACGTTATACTCGTACCCTGGAAGTAAATATACACGTTATACTCGTACCCTGGAAGTAAATATACACGTTATACTCGTACCCTGGAAGTAAATATACACGTTATACCCTGGAAGTAAATATACACGTTATACCTTGGTAGTAAATATAACATACAGTGTGGTGACAGGGCGTTAAGAGAAATATGTTCGAGATTTCTGTTCAACATATTTTTCCATGTTGAGCGCCTATATGCAGGATGTACGGTAATCGAGACAGAGAGCACTATTTACAGGACATAGCATGCAGCTCCTGTGAACCCCCCGAAGTATATATTATGGATGGATGGACGCACAAGAGATGTACCAGAAAGTCCCGCTTTACTGATTTTTCCATCATAAAGAACGATAGCATGTTTTATTCACGATGGCATGTTTTATTTACACCCACTGTCTGCACCCTTCTCTGTTTTGTGAACAAGAGCTGTCAGTGCATACATCACTTAACAAACATATTGATTATAAGCCGATCAGGAATCCCACAGATGAACTACCAGCTACGCCATGCGACATATCCTGGTTGACAAGGCCATACAACTTTGTTATCTACCATCAACAATGGAATGCCAAGTGTGGCTACACCCAGGCATCGTGTTCACTAATGATATCATAGGACTTCAGTTGCTTGATTAACGTGGAAGACTGCCGGGCACGATGGTTTAATGTCTTTTTGTTGGCTGTAATGAGATCTGTACTATACGTGTTTTCCTTTGTTCCATTACATCAATAGACGTCAGTGTAGATGGATATAGATCAAGATAAGACTCTAACATGCAAGTTATCTCTTCATATTGACCTGTCCTAAACCAACGCTGCTTCATCCTGTCGTGTCCGTGGCGGCATCTTCCCATCCACCCAGCTCTATTATATGGAGTTAATGAGCCAGTCAAGTGTTATAATCCAATAAAACAACAGGTGTTGGGTCAACCTTGATACCCATGAACCAGAGATAAGACATATATACAATTAATACAATTCAAGTCGTTAGATAAATTTAGGATATTTATCTTAAGAGGATGATTCGAGGGTGACGAAGGTTGCAATGATGGTGTATGCAAAGATCTTGCTGTCATCTCCGTGACTGACCGACCAATGTCAGACAAGTTGTAGTGCAGGGAGCCCGTGTATAGACGTGGGCACTGGCCAATACCTGTAATTACCAAAACAATCCAAGGGCCGAACACACCCAATTGTTGATGAGCAAGGCTGTGTGTACCCGCAGCACGTTGCTATTGACAACCCCGCCAAAATAATGACTACAAAGGCACCAGATACATGTTATATTTGAGGTAGACACTTCGCAGGAATACCCGAGCTGTGATGCTAAGTAATCTCAGAAAAAGTTAACATTTGAGGCGGATCATGAGCAGAAACAGCGACCCAGTGTTCAACATATTTCTACAACCAGTCCAAGGTGTTATGGCACATATAGTTACCACCAGACAAAGGTGTCATAACTATAGTTACCATCAGTCCAAGGTGTTATGGCACATATAGTGATCACTAGACAAGGTGTCATGACACATATATTGGTCACTAGGTAAGGTGTCATAACACAATAGTTACCACCAGACAAAGGTACTCTTCACTCTAACACCAACAGTGGTCATAACCTGAAGTCAGTCATAATACTCTTCACTCTAACACCAACAGTGGCCATAGCCTGAAGTCAGTCATGATACTCTTCACTCTAACACCAACAGTTGGCATAACCTGAAGTCAGTCATGATACTCTTCACTCTAACACCAACAGTGGTCATAACCTGAAGTCAGTGATGATACCCTTTACGCTAACACCAACAGTGGTCATAACCTGAAGTCAGCCATAATACTCTTCACTCTAACACCAACAGTGGTCATAACCTGAAGTCAGTCATAATACTCTTCACTCTAACACCAACAGTGGTCATAACCTGAAGTCAGTCATAATACTCTTCACTCTAACACCAACAGTGGCCATAGCCTGAAGTCAGTCATGATACTCTTCACTCTAACACCAACAGTTGGCATAACCTGAAGTCAGTGATGATACCCTTTACGCTAACACCAACAGTGGTCATAACCTGAAGTCAGCCATAATACTCTTCACTCTAACACCAACAGTGGTCATAACCTGAAGTCAGTCATAATACTCTTCACTCTAACACCAACAGTGGTCATAACCTGAAGTCAGTCATAATACTCTTCACTCTAACACCAACAGTTGTCATAATCTGAAGTCAGTCATAATACTCTTCACTCTAACACCAACAGTGACCATAGCCTGAAGTCAGTCATAATACTCTTCACTCTAACACCAACAGTGGTCATAACCTGAAGTCAGTCATAATACTCTTCACTCTAACACCAACAGTGGTCATAATCTGAAGTCAGTCATAATACTCTTCACTCTAACACCAACAGTGGTCATAACCTGAAGTCAGTGATGATACTCTTTACTCTAACACCAACAGTGGTCATAACCTGAAGTCAGTCATAATACTCTTTACTCTAACACCAACAGTGGTCATAACCTGAAGTCAGTCATAATACGCTTTACTCTAACACCAACAGTGGTCATAACCTGAAGTCAGTCATAATACTCTTTACTCTAACACCAACAGTGACCATGCCTGAAGTCAGTCATAATACTCTTAACTCTAACACCAACAGTGGTCATAACCTGAAGTCAGTCATAATACTCTTTACTCTAACACCAACAGTGACCATGCCTGAAGTCAGTCATAATACTCTTAACTCTAACACCAACAGTGGTCATAACCTGAAGTCAGTCATAATACTCTTAACTCTAACACCAACAGTGGTCATAACCTGAAGTCAGTCATAATACTCTTAACTCTAACACCAACACGCTGGTAATGATGTAGTGTGGGGCAAGAGTGAAATGTTCTTGCCACATTATATAGTCTTGTAAACGTTCCAGCAACTTCCATTCTTTGCTGGGCTATTCTTGTGTGCTAGACGATCCCGGAGCAGTGTTGACTCCTTCCGAAGTATACTACATTCTACACCACTGCTGACATCACATGGTAATGCGTTCCTGACAGCTAATTACTATCAAAAGGCAGTATTATGAACCTCAACTCACAGTCAGAAGAACATGCGTAATACAATTAATAACTTCAATTAAATTCTATTAAAAGAGATTTAACTTTAATCTTGTTACTCATTCAGAGCATGACAACTTGTCGTCACTGATAAGCTGAAATAAGATCGGTTTTAAATTCTACTTGAATACGCTTCAGCCGAACAAAGATCGTGTATACAGTCAGTGTGTTTTAACTGGAACTGCATACCTCTTGCTGATCTCGAAATGTTTAATCCCCAACTAATTAGAGGTGTAGTAATTAACGTTGAGCAGTAGCATGACTCAACTGAGTTGCCAGTTACCTCATTGTTTTGAGATATTGTTAATATGTGTGTCTAGTTTAGAGTTACTGAACACCCATTACCAGGACGATGTCTGCTTGGCAGTAAGCCATTCATTAAAAAACTACACCTTTGGTTTTCCTTTTAGCGGCAGATAATGGGTAGTGTTTATTCTCTGGCGTGTGAGTGGGTGACTCTGGGTGACGCGTCTGTGAACCATATGATGTGAGTGGCGACGTGACAGTTTGAGTCAAGAGTCATTAGCGCTGTTTGTTGTTGCTTTTTTATGGCAATGAGAGACAACCTGGATCAATATTAAAATATCTACATTTATCATATCATTGATCCCTCCTATATAAACGTACAGAGAACAACGGTTGTATTGATGCTAGATATTTGTCAGGTGAGGGTAGCGAGGTAGGATCACTGTTAAACAGACACTGAGTAGAATTGGATGCAAGATGTTGACAACATATTAACTTCAGCATGGCAACCGTGTTTACAACTTCAATAGTTTCTCTTTTTTCTCTTTTTGAACACGCAGTTAGTATTTGTTTGCGTAAACCTGGTAAGGATGATGTTTGCGTTCTTGACCTAAGTAGTTTGCTAAAGTTAGAAATGTTACGGAACGGTACCGGAAGTGTACAGCTCCTTGTCGCCAGCAGTCTGTGTATACAGCCTGGCACTGTCTGGGCGGTGCCGATACACACGAGGATGCTAGACCGTTAGTTCCAGAAAGGCAGGGGATTTTTTCAAACTGATTGTAAATGACGACACTCTATGTACACAGCGGTACGTTCAAACACTTGATTCAAGCGTGGAGTAAACGTTGTGTGAACATTCAGCAAACTCAATACAAATGTCTTGGTTCGTAGGACACCAGGAGTGAGCTGGTAGCGATTGCACGACCGAGGTATCGCCTTGTTCTAAGGACGATTCATGAAGCTCCCTGAATGTGCAATATCTAATGGAAAAATGGCGGTGTAACTACAGGGAACAACATGTAAACGATAAACTAAATACGCCAAACGTAATTCCTTACTGGTACATTGGCATAACACGGTAGACATATGTCTCACATTAATCCTTCGTTACTCGTACATTGTCATAACACGGTAGACATTTGTTTCACATTAATCAATCGTTACTGGTACATTGACATAACACGGTGGACATATGTTTCACATTAATCCTTCGTTACTGGTACATTGATATAACATGGTAGACATATGTTTCACATTAATCATTCCTTACTGGTACATTGACATAACACGGTAGACATATGTTTCACATTAATCATTCGTTACTGATATATTGACATAACACGGTAGACATATGTCTCACATTAATCATTCGTTACTGAT